TTTTAATTATTAATAAAATTATATCTTTTATAAAAAAAATAAAAAATTAATACCTGAATTTAAAGTTTCAAGCACTTATCAATGAAGACACTCTTTAACGACGGTTCCAATAAAATTTTAATTCCTGAACAAATTTCAAGTTTGGATTCAACGTGGTAGGTCAGGATGGTATGGTACCAAAAATTGATTTGCACAGCGGCGGAGCCAAGTGTAGAACAGGGTGTGGTGGTCCACTAGTCATGATTTTTTATTATTATTATAAGACCCTTTTTTCCCAAAATCTTAATTTTTTGCGACAAGGAAACAAAAAGTGATTATTTTGTTTCAACTAATATTCCTAACTTTTATGATAATAATTATCATTAATTGATAAAAAACCATAATTGTTATTGTATTAGTTTCAATACTAAAATTTAAATTCAATGTTGGTATAGCAATTAATGAATTTATTAAATATAAAAAAATACTTTTTAATCTTTAAACTTCATGGTTGATGCTAAATTTTTGACCCAAAAAAATCTATAAATTTCTAACACATCTCCTGTTTTCCTCTCTTCCTCCTTCATTTGCTTGGAAAAGCCCTAAATTGTTTTGTTATTGCTCTAAAAATCATTAGAATATCTAACTGTATACACCATTTAATCTTTTTTTATATATATAGATAAATTAACGATCAAAACTTTACCTATAACCCAAAATAAATTATTGCATGGTTAGACTTAAATTTTCCTCTTTTTGTTATTTGATGTGATTACTATTACAAAAATGTTAAATTTTTTTAATTGATATTTTAAGGGTTTTTTTTTTTCTTTCACAAAGATAACTAGAAAATATTAACTAATTATCAAAAAAAAAAAACCTTTATCCTGACTCTGGCACTGGTTTGGTTGACTGAACTTTTATGGGCAAGTTTGCACATATTCTGCGCTTAGTGGGGGAGATCCGAAATCTCATTAGATATGTCTGATGTCTTATAGGGCAGCAAGAATATTATTCTGTGAGTGTCTTGATTTGACAAGGGAAACTGAGTTGTGGTTGGGTGGCTTAGAATGAATCAAATTCTCAATTGGTGGTGTTTACATTCAGGGTGTTTCATGTTGTGTTTCATGTTATGCCTCAAAGAAAGATTGAACATTTGAACGCTTTCACTTGCATGGATATTGACTCTGTTAACATCCAACAACAGTGCATTTCTTCACTTTACATTCTCTAAACCAATTGGAAAGTCATGATCGTTTGATTGCATTAGAAATTAAAAGTTGGCATTATAGTGTGGGAAGTGGAATTTTCTCTTACCTCATAATTAGCCTTTCATAGCCAATGAATCCTTGATTATGCAGATTTTCAATAGTGACTTGGCCTAATGTTTCTTCGTTTCTTCCGGTCACCAGAAACACCTTAAATCCGCTTTCAACAAGCTTGATAAATAGATTAAGCACACCGGGAATTGCAGGACACTCTCCCTTGTTTACCCATGACTTGAAACTTACCGAATCAAAAGGATCACATCTTCAAATCACAAATCAAATAGGTCAGAATCAATCATCAACAAAATTTGACACTCAAGAATAACCCACACTTGGACATAATGATCAAAATGTGCTAAAAATATAAAAAACTGAAAGTAGGATATACGATTGTGCACATACCCATATCTTTTTCCCTTGTAGTAGAAAACATTAGAGATGCAGGTGTCATCAACGTCTAGAATCCAAGCATCCATGCCATCCTCAGATAGAACTATCTCATTCACATAACTCAGGATTTCCTCCACAATCAAGTTAAGATCTTGGTCATACTGTCCTCCAATCATGTAATTCTCAACATACCGGAAGCACTGAGCAGGGACAGTGCGCCACGCACGTGCATTGTTCGTCTCCACGGCCAGCCTCCAGCTCAGGCAAAAGATAGCAGCGGCATTGTCAGTTGGCACGGTGGCCCTGGCAAGAGTCTTAATGCCAGTTGCCTTAGAGAATACAGAAATGAACAAAAACACCAGCATCTCTCGAACCTTCCTCAACATTGCTGAAATCATATGGGATCTTTCTCCTAGAAAAAGGAATTTCAAAGATCCAAATGCAAGTTGTATCAGCTTAAGATGAGAGATTAAAAAAAGACTCTTTGTGGAAGTTCTTGTACTTTTCTGTCTTTATCAGCAATGGAAAAAAAAAATATAGCTGGAATCTAGCTAGTGTTTAAAGAAGACGATTCTAATAATTGTGACCCCTAATTAAACGTACACGGGTCCAATAATTTGCGTAAGTTGGGGGGTCTCAAATTCTAATATAAAGAAATTAAGAGTACAGTGCTTCTGTTATCTTATTATTGTATAGTATACAATTATAATATGTTTAGATTGAGAGAAATGAATAATAACGAAGAAGAAAAAAATTTATTTAATTATTAAAAAAATTAAAAGGAGTGAAGGGAAAAAATTTTCTCTATTATTTTTTTAATTTAAATATTTATATAAATAATGAGAAAGATTCATTTCCCTTAACTTAAATATAAAATTAAAAAAAAAAGCTAAAATTTTAAAATTTTTATTCTTTTAAGGGATTCTAATGATATTCAAATTTTAAAACAAATAGATCAATCAATAGAAGAAAAATATTTCTGATAATATAAGGAACAATTAAATACACAAAAAACTCAATTTAATAGAAAACATAAACAATAGGATTATAAAAACAAAAAATGATAAAGAATGGACTCTACACTCGATCTTATCTATGCGTGATTCATGCAACTTGCAAGAATTAAAAAGAAAAAGAAAGAGGGATAGCAATCACCATTCGGGTACACATGTCAAATGTTTTGCTAGCCAAGGCCCGGAGGAATGTGCATTGAAGGGTTATCAGCAGGGATTTTATATATATCAGGGTAGTATGCTTTTCTTCGTCAATGGATGGCTAGAAGGTAGAAATGGCATTTTGCGTCAATTCATGATGAGGGGGGAAGCTTCAGGGGAAGAGGATATATTGGCAGAATTATGTAGTCATGGCCTGCCACGTGAATTTGCAAGAAGGAAAGCCAAAATTTCCAAACTTCAAATTATATTTGGATACCAACACAAATCGATTGACCAAATAGCATGATTTTCTGCATCTGGAAAGTTTAATTGCAGTGGGGAAATGGCAGAGAAGCAACCTTTTTTGTTAAGTGGGGGAGGAGGAAACAGGGGATGGCGCAGCCGCCCTCTTTTGATTAAATTTGACTTACTTTATTGTGTATACTTTTCTAAGTTCTAATTCTAACGTAAGAAGTTTAGTGCCTTAAATGCTTCATTGTACCAGCCAAGCACAAACCAATAAATTACAAATACTTTAGTATTGTGGTTGAGATGGGGAATTTAAGAATTTATTTAGAGGAGAAAAACAGAGGAGATCTGCTCTTAGAAAAGAGGAAGATAGATGGTGGGGGGAGATTATGAAAGATATTGTTGCTTACACACAGAATGTTTTTGAGACATAATGAGGTTGTAACTTGAAAGCGATGTGAAGATGAAAGGAAATTCAGTAAGGAAAAGAGGATGGAATGATTTTGAGGAAGGAAATTGAAATGGACTATTATGTGCTATTTGGAGGCGGCCACTTACCCAACCTACAGCATAACAGCTTCGTGGGAAGCTTCTTAGCAGGTCTATTGATACCAAGGATTAGGTTGTGGTCGCATCTCATCATGAGATATTTTCTTTCTGCTCTTGGTTGTTTGTGCATCTCACAATTGTGTCTCCAAAAAAGTACTTAATCGAAGGACTGATCTTTGATTATAAACCACAAATATATATTTGATTTATTTTCTACTTAAAATTTTAAACTTATTCTATTATTATATCAATACCTAGAAAAATAGTTTATAATTGACTTTTGCATACCACGACGAGCATTGTGTGCCCATGATAAATACACATTAAATCGTGAATCATGAATTTGCATTACAAATAGTAAAAAAAATTATTATTTGAGAAGTTACAC